AAGACGTGCAGGGTCAAGGACCTTCCAACAATTAATCTTAGCTTGTTTGTAAATGTTTGCTTCTTTGATGTTTACCGGGCTTCTTAACCATTTGCCTCTATGAACTGTGGCTAAACAGAGATTAGCTTCGCATCGAAGACTGGCAGCATGTTACTCTTGATCCCCGAGTAAGATAGGCTCGATTACCAGCTGCTGTTTCGGGAAATGAGCCCGCGCTCATCCCCTGAAAAGACCACGGAGGAACGCGACCGAACCCGGGAGAGCGGCGGAAATCGAGCCTACGAATATGAGCGGGTTTGAAATTCAAGCACTAGATTGCCTGGACTTTTTTTGCGACCCTTTTCCTTATCCTGGAATTAACGCTGTTACAATACGCAAAGATTATCTTAAGAATTTTCACATAATCCATAACCCATTGCAAACAATATGGTAATCATCATTGCAGGCAAGAGCTAAAGATCTCTAACCTACCAATTGAAAGAGATTTCACGTGCAGAACTTCGCCAGCAGGCCCGCGACCAATTTCGTTGAATCCATTAACTTCGATCTCGTAACTAGTATGAGGAACAACTTTAAGAAAAGCCTCTGTAAAGTTGCTTGTTACGTTCACTTCCTTATACAGCTGTGTACTAAGTCGTCTGTATTTCACTCTGTAGCCGAGCAGCTTTTCTTTATGACGCGACGGAGGAAGTGCCTTCCAGGAGATGTGAATTGAAGTCGCATTTACAGGGTAGCCTTGAAGAAAGGCAGGGGCCTCTTCAGGAACTGTTGGAATGAAGTAAGCAGAATCTTTAAATTTTTTGTTAAAAATAGATTTAAAACAAAAACAAGCGAATATTAAAGTTAATAGCCGACGTTTCGGTGTCATCCTGACAGCATTCTCAAGGCAAAGTGAATGAATTAATGCGAAGATTTGATTTCTATACTTTTACAGTCTCTAAAAATAGATTTGCGTTAAAATAGTTTCTGGTATTCAGTATCATGCGCCCGCGCCGTGCATTAACTGCATCGCGGTCCCCAACGCCCCGTCCACACTACGAAGGAGGAATTTTAAAACGGAGCTTTATTTCTACAGTTAGGCGTACCGTCCACACTAATCCGTCACGAAAACGGAGCTTTTCGAAAACGCTCTTCAAACCGGAGGAATTTGAA